AATAAAATATAATAAAAAATATATTTACAAAAATCAAATAAAAGTGCAAACAAATATATGAATAAATGCAATTTGAAAACCTTTACAAAAGATATTGTGTAATATTATCACCAAAACGACTCAAATCGTTTTAACATTATTTAAAATTGCTCAACATTGACTACTAAGGTTCCTATGTTATCTATTTCACTAGTGATTACATCGCCTGGTTTGAGGAATTCTGGAGGGTCACGGTATTGTCCCACTCCCCCGGGAGTGCCAGTGAGGATCAGGTCACCAGGGAGCAATGTTATTATCCTAGAAAGAAAGATTCTTTTTTAATTTTTTTTAATATAAATTTGCTCTGCCCTTTAGGTTTTTCTCCTGTATCGTGGGTGCGTTTATAAATTACATACACATTGTACTCAGACCCGGTGTAACAATTTATGGCTTACAAAAAGAGTTTGTACGTGTGGGGATTGAATACGCTACACGTTACGCGGCAGCCAGTTGCCCAGCCACTGCACCAGCAGTGCAGTCCTTGACACTCCCCAGCTGGACTTACAGCATCCTCAACACGAGTCGAGTTTACTATAATCTCCACACCTATCAGGTAGGATTGGAGATAAAAATATTCAAGTTTATAATCGCTTATCCTTCAACTATTTTTTGTTTTTTTTTTTTGGAACAAGCCCGCTACAGCCTTCCAACAGCTGCAACTCCTGTAAGCCAGGATCTATAGTAGATAACTTTCATGAAAACACCGGGACACTGAAGTCCAACACGTTCCAAGGACATGAATAATGACATCACGCTAATTATTAATTATACAATACTAGCGACCCGCCCCGGCTTCGCACGGGTGCAATATGTATATACATACAAACCTTCCTTAAGAAACACTCTATCTATTAAAAAAAACCGCATCAAAATCCGTTGCGTAGTTTTAAAGATCTAAGCATACATACGGACATACAGCGAAAGCGACTTTGTTTTATACTATGTATTGAAGCATGCATGAATAGACTGATGACTGTTGAGGAAGCGAAAGAGGGATCTAACATTCGTAGCAATTGGCGTTCCATACTCTCTGCCTACCGCAACAAGAGACAGGCGTGAGGTTGTGTATGTATAGCTAAATTAAGCTCAATAGCATTTACGTGCTAAGTCTCTCAATGATGGCTGGTATCTTATGTATCAGATTCTCAGTATTACTGTCTTGTTTCAGTTCATCGTTCAAATAACATTTAATGTTCAAGTTGTCTGGGTCGGTGATCTCATCAGCTGTTACTATCCACGGTCCAATCGGACAAAACGTATCTTGTGACTGGAAATAAAATATCGAGGGTTTGTTAAAGGTAATGTGAATAAGGTCTTGAATTCATGTTGAACAGAGTAAACTTATGATTTGTCATAATTATCATCAACTATAACTCTTTTTCCTGTGTCGTGGGTGCGTTTACAAACATACACCCAGGTGTCATGTGTCTAACACAGATTGTTGTTCCGGGTCTGGACTCGGAACAACAATCTGTGGATTACACAAAGAGTTGTTCAGTGCGGGAATCGAACCCGCGACACGTTGCGCGGCAGCCAGTTGCCCAGCCATCGCGCCAACCGTGCAGTCAAAACTGAACATAGGCCCAATGTGAATTCCAGAGTAATGATCAACATTTCAAAAATTTGGTTGGGTTCTGTCATCTGGGTTCCAACAATGGCAGGAGACTACCTACATTTCTAATGGTTGGTTGGTTACAAGGAACAAACAGAAATAGGAGTACATTGCTTCAGATTCAGATGTAGGTAATGCAAAATATGTTTAGGATTAGAGTAAATAGATATTTTCTTAGTAGGTATTGATATCTTACAAGGCTGTTGCAGCCTACATACTAGTAAACTTGGCAGAAAAGAGTTTGACGCGGTGATAGCTGGAACTAATATTGATTTGGACTGAATCACCCACTTCGGACAATATTCAATGACTAAACAATTATCTGAACAATATAAGTATCATCTCTTGAGTAGGTAGTAGTGTACCAGGTTGCCACAGGTACGATACTAGCGACCTCAATTATTCTAAACTCCGTTTTGCCAAGCTGTACCTACATAGATATACGAACTTTTCCCAGTAAGAACTGCCCTCCATTTTCGTCCTTCTGCCAATCTCGTCCGCTAATATCCTGAGCTATGGTGTATCCGAATACATATTTGTATGCATCCGCAGCTGACACAGCCGATGCAGTCTTGCCTATGACAACAGCCAGCTCTGCTTCCCAATCTACTTTCTGTAATAGGTGACGTTTTATAGGTACCTAGTTTTAATTCGGGAGAGCCATGCTTCGGTACGAATGGACCGTTTCGACCGAAGCGATACCACGGCCTTACAGAAAACGTGATAAAACTCAGACCTTGTGTATATAGGTAGGTCTGTATGTCTGATTTGTTTCAAGCCGGCTTTTTTTTCGAAACAATCTGCAAAGCAAATCATGAAACTCCAAATCCCCTTAAAAATCGACAATGATCTTGCCTCAACTCTTCTGGTGAAGCGTTACTTATTTATCAGGTGATCCGTCTACTCGTCTGTCCCATAAAAGTTGCACTTTTATTAAGTTTTTTTAAGGCTGATAAAGTGGGAGAGATTTAGCCATACAACGAAAACTTCTTAAGCCCCTTACGCACTAGCATTTGACCACTTAGGCGGTTCGTATCGACAGACGGGGTTGCCATAGCGGTTGCATACTATATAAATGAGAAAAGCGGTCAACTGGCGGGAGCGGCTAGCCACGCGGTTGACCGCTAGTGCGGAATCCCTTCCGCTTAGAGTTTATCTCCGCGCTGAAAATGGACTAATACCTTAGTTACGTGAGTCCTTATCTTCACAGCCTCATTAGGTCCGATGATTGTACTGGCAAACTTGTTGAAGACTACCGGTACCTTAGGTTGTGGTATATTCTGTTCCTTGCAGTGATCGGCATAGTTTAGAGCGATGCACAGAATCTTGTCCATTTCATGGATCGGTGCTTTCAATGTAACTTCTGCGAGGGGCATCAGAGTCTTTGGGTTTGGACTTGGAGCCCTATACAAAATTATAGGTAAATAATAGTATGACGTCGCTGTTCCCACAGCCTTTAGAGTCATTTAAGGCAATATACAAAATATTTGCTAATAGCTAATAGCCAATAGCTAGACCAAAAGCTTCTTCAGGAACGAAGAAGGTTTGAGCATTAATTATCTACCACGCTTGCTCAATGCAACTTGATGATTTCTAAGTTATTCCTTATTAGAAATTTTAAGCCCAGGTTTGCTCACGATGTTTTCCTTTACTGTTTGTCAGTGGTGTCTAAAATAATCTTAGAAAATACATATGATTTGGAAAAAGTCATATTCGTTGGTAGGTTTCGAGCCCGCACCATAATGCATGAGAAGCAGGCGTCATAAACCTCCGCGCCACAATAGACTATCTACGTAATTCTACTTATTCTAAAAATAATCCGTCTTTCAGTAACTCTCACAACCTGGAAAAGTTAGCAGTCGCTCTGCGGTTGACTCGGCAAAATCTTCACAGGCGCTTACTGTACTTAATAATGCACATAAGGAATATTGTGTAATACTTAGATAGGTAAATACTACATAGCCATTCTACGTAGAACAAAACATCGACAAAAGATCCTACAAAGATAAGTTAACAAATTCATTAAAAGAAATAGAATAGTAATGAAATCTTACGATATAATACTGTTAACTAAATCAGCTCTGAGGATATCGAGCATAGTTTTTGGCATGTTGCTATCATAACTACAAATATCCGCTACTTCATCACCATGCAGGTATCCGACCCTCAGCGTATTAGGAGTATCGTTCGGAATAAATTGTACGAATTTCATTGCTGCTCTTGTTCGTTATTGGAAAAATGTTAGCACTGTCCACATGTATTGTACTTTAAACAATTTCGTTTCGGCTATTTATTTCTTTAGGACATTGATTTTGTTGGAGACGGATTTATTTAGCAAAGTACTTGTCAGACTTGTCATAATGAATCTGTCCAAAGAGTTGTCAAAGTGATTAAGTAAAAAACTTCAAGGAAAGTACTAGTTAAGTAACTCCTTTATAGAATACTGCCAGCGCAGTGATCGCATAGGTGTAAAGGGTTTGATCAATGTTAATTTTGTGTTTTGTGAGGGCAACCTACGTTTGGAACATGGCTTATTTGCTTCATGACCTAGGTATTGCATATATATGTATTGCATGGCCTATTTTTAGTGTGGGAGAGCCATGCTTAAGTACGAATGGGCCGGCTCGACCGGAGTGATACCACGGCCCCACAGAAAGCTGACGTGAAACAACGCTTACGTTGTTTCGTTGTGAGTGAGGTTACCGAAGGCCTCTCCCGATCTGCCCAATCCATGAATCCCCGACATTTCTCAAATTGCTAGTCCCGCTAGTCCATAAAAGGCCGGTAACGCCTCTGGTGTTCCAGTTGTCCATGGGCGACATCAATTGCTTACCATCACGTGATACGTATGCTCGTTGACCGGATTAACCCATAAAAAACAAAGCCGGTATGAAGGAACATCACCAAAAATTAGAACTATGGGTACATTTTTGTCAAGTATTTAGGGAACAGAGTGGAAAGTTCCCTAAGATTGGAAAAGGAGGATCCTCCGACCAGTCGAGGTGATCGTGCCTGGCGGGCTTTCTGCCCAAAAGTTGTATGTTGGGATTTTCTTTCCGTGTTAAATCGTATGTACACTGCACATGTGCGATGTAGGATTTTTGTGACGTCATCCGTTGATTTGTTTGAGCTGTCATTTGACATGTGTCGCCACAACTACAAAATCAAACCAAAATATTTAGACAATATTAAAAACATGATTTATTTACAAAACGTAAATAAAAGTGCTAACAAATATTACGAATAAACGCTGTATACTGATTAACGATAATAATTATTGAACGTTACAATAATAATAAAATTATACTTAAATATATAAAACAAGCAAAATATATCATTTACAAAAAACATACTCATACAAAATAAACAGATGCATTATAAAAACATAAGTACAGAGTATTCAAAAAGATAAAGAAAATATTTTAAGGCCGAAATTATTATCCGATTTCCAATTCTCTGGACCGATCAGTTTATGACAGAAATTCAATAGAATTAATGTCAAATTTTCACGAATTTCGACTTTAAATCAACATAATAAGGTATAATCTTAAACTTAATTATGTTCCTCAACTGACACAACTAATGTTCCAATTTTTCCAATTTCACTGGTGACTGTGTCGCCTGGTTTGAGATATTGTGGGGGCTTACGGTGCATTCCTACTCCTCCAGGAGTACCAGTCAGGATAATGTCTCCGGGCAGCAGCGTCATTATTCTGAAAATGAGGATATTTACTTTTAATAAACTTTACCATTTAAAAATAAAGCCGAAATGAAAGAACATCACCAAATATTAGAACTATGGGGACATATTAGTTGTATCCATTACTATTTTGAATAAACTCGAATGTTTAACTACAAAATTAAACCAAAATATTTAGATAATATTAAAAACATGTATTTACAAAATGTAAATAAAAGTGCTAACAAATATTATGAATAAACGCTGTATACTGATTAACGATAGTTATTAAACGTTACAATAATAATTATACGTAAATATATAAAACAAGCAAAATATATCATTTACAAAAAACATACTCATTACAAAATAAACAGATGCATTATAAAAACATAAGTACAGTGTTCAAAAAGAAAAAGCCATGCTTCGGCACGAATGGGCCGGCTCGACCGGAGTGATACCACGGCCTCACAGAAAACCGACGTTAAGCAACGCTTCCACTGTGTTTCGTCGTGTGAGTGAGGTTACCGGAGGCCCAATTACTCTCCCCTTCCCAATCTCCCCAATTCCTAAATCCCCGACGATCCTCAAACTCCTAATCCCCAAAAGGCCGGTAACGCACTTGTAACGCCTCTGGTGTTACAGGTGTCAATGGGCGACGCCGATTGCTTACCATCAGGTGATCCGTCTACTCGCTTATGCCATAAAAAAATGTTATACAAGAGAAAAAATATTTGTTTAAGATTTGTGATTTTTGCTTAGATACAAAAAAAAAAGATTAAAAGCGTGGTATTGTAGAAGTATATGTCGAAAAGTGGTTGGAAACCAGCTGTTCTATGATAATGCTGTTTCTGTCAGCCGCTGCAGTTTTACTGCAGTGCACTTTTTACAAAAGAATGTCCCTCATCTATTTGACTATTTGTATTATAATTCCATTATATTAGCGACAATGTGCACATTTGTTGTTTCACAATTTAAGAGATACACATCACCAAAGAGGTAGGCAGAGATGCACATTACGGCACTTAATGCCACTGTACAATAACACTCACTTTTCACTGTTTATGTCATGAGTCCCATGTAATAGAGGGTGAGCCTATTGCGATAAACCGGGAACAATTCCGGATACAACACCATCAAAAACAGTCTCACAATTTAGGAGATACACACATGACAAACAAAACAAAATCTCTTTAACTTAAAATAATTAATTTTGAAAATACTTACGAGCTAATCCTTTCAATAACGTCAGGTATCTTATGGATCAGTTGACAAGTGTTGCTGTTTTGTTTCTCTTCATTGTTCACGGAACATTTGATGTCCAATGTGTGCGGGTCGCCGATCTCATCTGCTGACACTATACAGGGCCCGATTGGACAGAATGTGTCTTGAGACTGGAATATTATAATGAGTAGTTACTAAGCGTCAACCATAGAAAATAATGTATGAACGGTTGTCGTGATTTTTTAACACAGTGGCGCCATCTATGATCAAAAAATTTTTTGTGGCAGTTATCGTCATGACATGCATGATCATCTACCGAAAAAAAAATATAAGAGGTGTAAAGATTTCTATCAAAAAATAGAATAAAAGAAATTGAGGCACTTCCTTGTTATTTAAGGAACTGATTGTAATGTTCCAAGTTCGTAAAAGGGATCCACCTATACTTGTCTGATCACGTGATTTAACGCTTTCTCTTGGAACACTGAGTAAGATTAGATCAATAAATATTTTTCACTAAAAATACGAACCTTTCCCAGCAAAAATTGACCTCCATTGGACTCTTTCTGCCAGTCTCGTCCGCTAATGTCCTGAGCGACGGTGTACCCGAATATGTATTTGTATGCATCCGCAGCTTTCACAGACGACGCAGTCTTGCCGATGACCACAGCCAGCTCCACTTCCCAGTCAACTTTCTGTAATGAGAAAATTTTTCTTTATTTTAGATCATCATCAATAGCCGACCATAGTTTCTACTGATGGAAAATGGGCCTCTACTAAACAGAGGGGTTTTTTTATGGCATAAGCCGGTAAACGAGCAGACGGATCACCTGATGGTAAGCAATCAGCGTCGCCCGGACACAGCGGACACCTGGAACACCGGAAGCGTTACAAATGCGATACCGGCCTTTTGGGAATTAGGAGTTTGAGTATCGTTGAGGATTCGCCATTATTTCACTTGCTTAACCGTACGGTAAGCCGCACGAGGCTAAACAGTCGCACTTGTAAGCTCTCAGTATAGGTACTTATTTATATAGTATATTTATGTAGGATAAATTAGATACGGTTCTTTTAGATATTGTACTGCTTATTGCCAGGAGATCAGAAATTGCAGGTGCTTTTATAGTGTGCCGTATCAAACTACATGGCTATGTGTAGATGATCGGCATATTCGACAGTGCAACGTTTTGCGAAGCTGACTTACGATTATTTTCTGTAGCCTGAAGTATGGAAATGCGATGATTTAACCCTAGAAACTAGTCGAGTTCCTCGTCAAATAGTTACGTGAGTAAGCCGAAAACATAATAATTGATTTAACCCCACACTTCAGAAAATACGTGAAGCTGTTGTTGATTGTCTGCGTGGTCTTTATAGTAGGATTTTTTTTGAGGCAGGAGTCATCGAATGGCTCACTCGCCCTGGATTAGGTGAGAGTGAGAATCATACACTAAAAAAACCCGTTCCATCTCTTGTTCCGAGCCTATAAAATTTGTGTGAAACACTACCTATACAGGTATACTTACCTGTTACTAATAAGTACGGTTTTCTTAAGGTCGTCATTTCCCAGTAATGACTTCCTTACTGTTTTTGTTAGAAATTAAATGCTTCATCAAGGCAAAATTTGCTTGAAGCCTTGAACTTTAAGAAAAATAAAGAACTCTGTTGAAAACCAAGCAGATTGCAAATATCGTAGTACGACACTTACAATCTGCTATTTATTTTTAAGTAGGTATAGATACCCGGAGACATTTTCGTAATGAATGCAAATATGATAATTTGGCTCGATGAATGGAACAAACAACTGATTCACGAATTTTAAAGTTAAGAATGTAATGTTGAGGAATAAGTAGGTACCTGTTTGCCTAAAATTAGGTACCTAACCTACTGCAAAAATGTTATACGAATAATTACTTCTTTTTGTTATGTTATATATGTTATGATATATATGAAGAAGAGATAGAATGTTATGATATACTGCAAAAATGTAATGTTATACGAAAAATTAAAATAAGTGGTTGAGATCTGAGGTGCAATCTGAGGTGGTCGGAAAAAGTATGATTGATTGGGTTTTGATAAATAAAACAAACAAGCCAACCATTCAACTAGAGACAAGCAGTAATATTCTCTTAGTTTTTACTTTTTAGTGATCTTCCCTGCAGTGTCCAAGCAATCCAGTGGATTTATATCAAACCCTCGCTTCCCTCAGAGAGGAAGCCTTAGTTTAGATGTGGACGTCTATAACCTGATGAGGATGATAACGACTAATTTATGACACGTATTCTGGTATTCAGCGACGGATTTTTTTTATGGCATAACCCGGTAAACGAGCAGGCGGATCACCTGATGGTAAGCAATCGTTGTTGCCCATGGACACCTGGAACACCAGAAGCGTTACAAGTGCGTTACCGGCCTTTTGGGGATTTGGAGTTTGAGGATTGTTAGGGATTCGGGGATTGGAGAGATTGGGGAAGGGGGAGGGTAGCTGGGCCTCCGGTAACTTCACTCACACGATGAAACACAACGCAAGTGTTGCTTCACGTCGGTTTTCTGTGAGGCTGTGTATCACTCCGGTCGAGCCGGCCCTACCGGGCAGCCGATTAAACCTAAAAAGCGCTTTAAGTGCAAGCACCTCATAGCCGTTCCTAATTTTTTTGGCGCCACCACCCCTTGGCATTTGGGCACACATGTCTCGCAGCGCCCCTTTGTAACCTAGCGCTCTAGGAGTAAGCACTTGCCTAGTGTCCCTTAGGGATAATACGGCCCTGCTGGCATTATATAACTACATTATTTAATAATTCCCTTATTTTTTCCTCTCTCTCTCTTTGTTGTTAGTTTATTCTCCGTACCTCAGTTTTCGCAGATTTTCTACTTAAACCCTAAGGTTGGCTGGTAGAGAATGCCATATGGCATTAAGTTCGCCTTATGTGCCATATAAACAAATTATGTACATCAATACATCAATACATAGTATAAAACAAAGTCGCTTTCGCTGTATGTCCGTATGTATGCTTAGATCTTTAAAACTACGCAACGGATTTTGATGCGGTTTTTTTTAATAGATAGAGTGATTCTTAAGGAAGGTTTGTATGTATAATACATGCATATTGCACCCGTGCGAAGCCGGGGCGGGTCGCTAGTTAAAGAATAAATAAATAAATAAAATTACCTTTGAAATATGAGTCCTAATCTTCACAGCTTCATTTGGCCCAATGATTGTGCTCGAGAACTTGCTAAAGATAATCGGAATCTTAGGTTCTTGTAAGTTCTGTTCCTTGCAGTGATCATCATAGTTTAGGGCTACGCAGAGGACCTTGTCCATGCCGTGGATTGGAGCCTTTAGTGTGACATCTGAGAGTGGTACACTTTGTGGCTTTGAAGATGGGTAGCTAAAAATTATAGAAAAGGCAATGTTATTGTGTTACTGAATTTTATTACGGCCTATATCACTTTTATTTTGTTCTTTTGGTTTTGATTTTTTATATAATATATTAGTAGTATTAGTAGTAGTAGTAGTAGTAGATAGTTGTGTGTAGTTAGTAATCTCTCTCCCTCTCTGTCGCGGAGAACCTAACGGGTTGCCGTGGCTCCGGCTCGACGTGCAGGAGAAGGAACAGGGTGGTTTTTAGTCAGTAAAGGTCTAACACTCCCTCCCGCCTCACCCAGGCGGGATCACTCATTCGATGATATTCGGCCTTAAAAAAAACTCTCTCTCTCTCTGTGTGTGTGTGTTTGTGTGAGTGTGTTTGTGTGAGTGTGTTTGTGTGTGTGTGATCAGTGAAAATATCTGAAAATTGCAGCAACCATTCATTATATTAATGTTTAGTAGTCCTAGTTTTATAGGTAAACCAATACTTATTTTGTTTAAACTGTCAAACACCAAGCGGTCACCGGTGACCGCAACCTATTGTTCTATAATTGTGTCTACAAAACCGGTACTCGACGAGTTAAATGGTCGTCGTTATCATTATTATGAAGGTAGGTAAGTTTGTCTTATCAAAGATGTTGCTGTTTTGCTGAAGATGCAAGTCATTTTACAATACAAAATAATATAGTTAATAAGACAATACCTACTGACAATTTCAGTATGAATGTTTACAAAACTCATTGAGATAACTATCTTAAGAAGTTGGAACAATTTCTTGTTAACAAAAGAATGCTCTATTTCAAAGAGAACAAAGTTTGTTTTTCATCGACTCAACTGTTTTGATATAGATAAACTCGATTTTTTTTCCAGATCATAACAAGATAAAAGAAAGTTTGACGTCATAAATGGTACCAAAATAAAAATGATAAGTGATGAGTGCTGATGACACCCCCAACACTATTGATGTAGGTACTTTCTGTATTAATCCTCGCATAGGTATATTGTTGATTAGGTTCGATATGCATGTAGGTAATGTAATGCTTCATTATCATGGGTATTTTTTACACTTATAATTGGGTATTTTTTTTTCTTTTATGGCAATTAAGTCTCCGCTATTTAGTAGTTGACTTATTCTGCCAGCGTCATGTGTATTGCCAACTAGAGAAATTCAATACTTTTTTCGACCTGTCAAAATGTCAGTTTTCTATGAGATTGTGTATTGTGACATCACGTTTTTTGGCGTCAAACTGCATACTTATTTCTTAATAAATTACTTACTGGAAAAATAGTCATAAAATCAATTAATGAAAGTGTGATTATTTTTTAATATTCTATTGTATTGAATAGTCGAAATAATTTATTTTTGATTAAGGACGGTACTCAATTAGTAATTGTATGTAATGCCTAATCCATGCTAATGGTTGCATTACAGGATTATGCATTGCATAATAGTCCTTTGAATACCATGTTAAGTACAATTCATCAACTAAGTACTCCAACGTAGTTAGGTATGTTGTTGAGAGACCACTTACACAGACTAATGTGTACATTTAAGGATTAAGGCGGAGTTGATTGTGTTCCATTCTTGTAAAGATAACAGTGGACATATTTTGTATAGGTAATTATGGAACTTTGATGGATATTATTATTACAATACACTTGGTAGCAAAAAACGGAGTCACTAGTGTATTTCTTTGCATTTATTGATAAAAATTATCTGATAAAGAAACGGAGTCACCAGCATCTTTTCCATATTATGAACGATAGTTCAATTGTCTTTTATATGACATAACCAAGTTACCAATAATCCATAAAATACTTTTTACATAAATATTTAATTAACTCGTCAAGTACCGGTTTTGTAGACACAATTATAGAACAATAAGTTGCGGTCACCGGTGACCGCTTGGTGTTTGACAGTTTAATACTTACATAAATATTTATCAAGAAATGAAAAAGAAAAAACGTGTTACTTTGTTCTCAAGTGTAAAAGGGTCCACATACAAAATCGTGAAACGATGCCACGAAAATGTCTATTTTCCTCATGTGGTGGCCCCCTATGCCCCCTGCTGAGCAAAGGCTCTTCTCACATGGAGAAGGTTTAAGCATTAATCACCACGCTCGCTCAATGCAGGTTGGCGATTACAAACTTATAATTAAAAATTATAAGCCCAGGTTTCCTTACTACATTTTCCTTCACCGTTTGTCAGTGGTGTCTAGATAATCTTAGAAAGTACATATAACTTGGAAAAAGTCACATTGGTACTTCTATCAACAAATTTAGGGGATGATATTTTAGATATTACAACATGTTAGTATGATGGAGTTGTTACGTAAATATGATTTTCACTAATGGAGAAATGAAGAAGAGATACTTTTAACCCATAAATTACCAAGCGGTCACCGGTGACCGCTTTCCACTAATATTACATTACATTATATAACCTTATTTGTAATGTTTAGAGGCTACTTTTGTATGACCAAATTTAGGGGGTGGATTTCAACGGGTTAATCGGTTTATACCTACAAAATATCTTACTTTCAATAACATTATCAGGGAAGTTCCTAACTAGCAAATAGTAATGCAACAAAGGTCTCATTGCTGCAATTGATGTTATAATCAACCTTAATGTTTTGTGATAGAGATTAGATTACTAAATTGGACTATGTGATTGGTCTAATGCATGTTTGAAATAAAATTTTTGGTAGGTTCCAATCAGACAAAAAACTGGTTTGTTCACATATATGTAGATGTATTTTTAGGTGATTATTATTCATGTCTTTAAGACAAATACTATGCTGCTGACTGGTGACTGCAAAACGTAATAGTCAATATTTCTTTCGCAGAAATAAAAAAATGACTGAAATTAAAAGTGATTTTTTTGTGTTGTTAGTTATTTAATAATTGAGTATTTATTTATTAAACCACAAATAAATATTAGATATACCTTATAAATAATGAGAATAAAGTTTACTTACCCAAAAACTTTGCCAATATGTTCAGAATTCAACAAACCCAACAAAGTCTGAGGGGCATTAGAATCAATTTTATTAATATCAACAACACGGTCCCCATCTAAATATCCGGCTCGGATTTGCTTCGGGTCATTATTGTAAGTGAACTGTACGAATTTCATATTGTTGATATTTGTTGTTGATATATTTCTTTGGCTAAGTAAACTGTTGCCGGCCTGGCCTTTTGACAGCAAATGCGTAGTAAACGCGCGCGCTCCTATCCTCATGGCACTCATGATTGTGTACCCGAATTTAGATTATATAATTTATTTGAAGTGTTTACTCGAATTCAAGGTTGTTTGATAATTTATACTGTAAGGCTAGTACACACTGGATGGGTTTATGTCAATGGTCTTTAAATTCTTTGTTACATATTGAGAGTATATTAAATAGTTATTATTTCTTAGTTTTTATGTTAATTTAACTTAGTTTTATGAACAGTCCGGTTTAAACCGCAAATTAAGTATTTTTGAATTATTTGAGGTTTGACTGCTTCTAATAATAAGCTGCTGGATAAACAACATGATGTATGTTAAATATAACGGTAAGATTGTTATATTCAATTAACTCTTACTGAATAAAATATTTCTTATCAAAATGCAGTGATTTGTTGATGAAAATGATAACGATTTTTCTGTCAATATGTCGTTCTGTCATCTATCAAATGAAAACGACTTCACTGAAAATCTCTGCGTTCGTTTAGAAATTGAACAAAAATAATTTATCAGAATATTTTTAGTAATTTTTACTCAATTATATGCCAACATTCCAAAATTCACTTGCTTAATACATTGGCATTTTAAAATGCCACTTTTGTGCTACTTTATTTACCTCATACTGAAATTTTAATCTGCTATCTATTTCCATTTCAATATGAAACAATGTACTTTCCGAACTGTTGGAAAGAGGTCATAACTCCGTCTAGCTAGTGTAGTGTTGTCCACGCTACGGTAAAAACAATATATCGATTATCGACAGTTCTTCTTCTCTTGTAAAATAATAATACCAAAATAAAACTTACATTCGTTTAATTTTTTCCATTATAATTTTGTACAGACACAAACTTGGATAGTAATTTTATTTAAGGATTACCCAAAATACCTACATAACATCACGCCTTTTATACACTAAAGGGGTAGGCAGACGTTATAGCACTTAATGCCACTGTACAATGTGTCACTCACTTTTCACTATTCGTGTTATGAGTCCTGTGTAATAGTGGGTGAGTCTATTGCCATAATACTGGACCCAATTCCAGACTCCGTGTTACCGCTGCCTGAGATTTTTTTTAAAAACCCTGTAGTACTTTGCCCGACTAGGAAATTGAACCCGAGACCGCTTGTATGGTTGTATGTTACTTTGTATGGTTTTTCCGTAGATTTCACATAGCGTTTACTATTTTTTTTTTAACAAATTCACAATGTATTATAATTTTGGAAAATCTTATATCTTTGGAAGGTTTGCTTGTAATTCTCGTAAATATAATTCTGTTCCTGAATTTGTAATCACTTTCATTAATGACGAACATAGAAACAAAAAAAGACAATTATTCACAAAATTGTGATACAATTTTATATAGCAGGGCGCGTGACATAGACTGCTGGCTCGTTTGATTATGGTTTTGGCCAAAACTAGTTGCATATTTGATATAATATGACCTCTTACTTATGGTCTATTAAATGGCAAATAGATGATTTTAAGCGCCTCGAGGATTTTTTTGCCCAAAAATTCCATTCTTTTAAATTTCTCCTTTTACTTATAAAAAAAACTGTTGTACCATCTAGCCACAGATGAAATAATAATTATTAAATCAGTATTGATAATTATACATTCAAGTTTGTAATATTCATAATACATTTTTGATAGACGTATCGTTTCGATAATATTTTGTCTGACGGTGTCGAACCACGAACATCACTATGATTGATAAATTTGTTGTCAAATCACGGGTCAATCAATCAAACGGAATCTAATAGGCCGGTTAGGAAAAAACTAGAAATCCATCTAACTGTTTATTGTTCTTGCTTTGTGATTAATTAAAATAACAAACAAAATGTCTTTCTTGGTAAAACACCTAGCTCGCAGAGTAAGTTTCTATTTTATATTTTGTAGAACCAGTTCCGTTACATTCATAAAATATGACCTATTTAATTAACATTGCTTTGTAATTCCAAAGGTCTTCACTCCAACCTTGGCATCGGTGAAAAAAGTAAACTTTTCCACCAGTAAGTATTATTGTTATTTAATTTATTATTTTGTCTGTCTCATTACATAACCTCAAAACTTTGAAGTGAGAGCTATTTTTTTTAGAGCGATTTCGTAGCAAAGTTTTCTTTCATTATGCCATGTTACGACCTTTTTATACATAAATATTTTTTATTTGTTTTTGTTAATCTGTACCAAATTTCCATTTTTGTTGCTTTTATTTTGTTACATTCTTATTTATATTTTATGTTTCAGCTAGTGCAGTATTTGTCCCGAAAGTTCAACAGCCCGCGCCTGCGTTTGAAGCAACTGCAGTAGTGAATGGTGAATTCAACAAGCTGAAACTGTCTGATTACCATGGAAAATATGTTGTTCTAATTTTCTACCCATTGGATTTGTAAGTATTTTTAATATATTCCAACCTATGAGGAAAATATTGCTAGTTAAATGTCCATAATTAACTAGTCTTGTAATAAATTTATGCTTGTGTATCATAAATCTGTATGATGTGGGTTAAAAAGGTATATAATATTATTATTATAAGAATAATAATTTATTCTAAAAAGAATGAATTATACAAATAAAAATTCCTATATAGATTTATTATTATTTTCCAGCACCTTTGTCTGCCCAACTGAACTGATCGCATTCAGTGATAGAGCAAAGGAGTTTGCCAGCATTGATTGCCAAATTATTGGAGTTTCCACTGACTCCGAGTTCAGCCATCTTGCATGGACTAACACTCCTAGAAAGGTATGTTTAAGTTGTCAAGTTTAACCATTAAATCATTGGTTTCATGGGTCTTGGGTTACATTAATGTGTGAAGTAATTTTTTTTCTGACTCATAATATTGGTTTTCAGAAATTCTCAGTAATAGCACAGGTTCTGGAGTAGTGCCTACTTGTAGTTAAACTGTCAAACACCAAGCGGTCACCGGTGACCGCAACCTATTGTTCTACAATTGTGTCTACAAAACCGGTACTCGACCAGTTAATCATAATTTTTATTTATTTACTTACATACATTGATTGTTAAAAATTACTTACATTGGGCAATAGATAATAAAGGTCATAACAAAAGTTGATAAAGTTGACATTATTAATTTAAATGTTGATATTAATATTTTTATTTCATTTAAACTTCTACCAAATACTTTAATTTATTGTGGTCATAAGGTGGTGCTTACGGCATAAGCGTAGGATCGTACTAGTCTGACTGTTTGACTATCAGTTTATATGTATGTTGTATTGACTGATCTATAACTAAAACACTTGGTAGCAAAAAAAATTACCAGTAGTGATTTTTACTTTCCATTTCTTGTTCAATATTTTCTCATACAAGCATTTTATTAACATATCACTACATAGTATAAAACAAAGTCTATCTGCTGTCTGTCTGTCCTTATGTGTGCTTAAATATTTAAAACAACGCAATGGCTTTTGATGGGGATAGAGTATTCTTAACCCGTCAAAAATCATCCCCCAAATTAGTTCATACAAAAGTAGTCTCTAAACATTGGAAATAAGGTCTATAATGAAGTTAGTGGAGAGCGGTCATCGGTGACTGTTTGGGGATATATGAGTTAAGGAAGGTTTGTATGTATAATAATGCATATTGCATCCATGCGAATCCGGGGCGGGTCGCTAGTGTTGTATAAAAAGCAATTTGGTTATCTTTAAAATGATAACATTGTGTTGTAAAAGGAATAATTTCGTTTAAGTTACAATACATTCGATAAAATGAAAAAAACCTTAGTAACAATACTTGGGACCAAAAAACAGATTCTTTGTTCCCGAGTGTACAATAAAAAATCTTATAACATATTAATCAGTAGACCTCAAGCTACTATAGCACCCAAGTGGTGTGAAAATATTCTATTTAACTATAATTTGTATTGTTATACTTTTCAGGATGGTGGTCTCGGCAAGATAGAAATCCCTCTTCTTGCCGACTACTCCAAGAAGATCTCAGAAGACTACAATGTCCTGTTAGATGCTGGGTTCGCTCTTAGAGGTAATTTATACTAATTCAATAAAAATAAGTTATATAGAAAAGACTATAGTACCATAGACTATATCCACAATATAAATTTGGTGTACTGTAGACCAAGGAGTATAACTTGCCAAACCAATACTCCAGTGTTTGTGGACTATGATTGTGGCCTTTGATTTGTTCGAAATTGGGCAGTTTTCTACAATGGGGCCAATGAAATTCAATTTAGGTAATGAGATAAATCATGTAATAATAATGTCGTGGTGACCTAGAGGTTTGAGACACCCGGCCGCCTGCTTCGCATGCATGATATTGTGGGTTCGAAACCTACCAACAGCAAGTACCAATGTGACTTTTGAGTTATATGTACATACTTTCTAAGATTATTTAGACATCACTGACAAACGGCGAAGGAAAAAATCGTGAGGAAACCTGGGCTTGTTATATCTAATTATAAGTTTGAAATCGCCAACCACCATCAAGTGTGGTGATTATTGCTCAAATCTTTTCTGTGTGAGCAAACGCCTTTGGTCAACAGCCACTTATAGGCTGTTGATTGATGATGATAGATCATGTTACATTAAGTCACTTACGACCTTTGTTCAACAATAGGTTATCTTCCAACTAAAAAAAAGAAAGTAAAAATCAATTAATGATTGCTCTCTTATTTTCCAGGTCTATTCGTGATTGACAGGAATGGAATCCTAAGACACATGTCGGTCAACGACCTGCCAGTCGGTAGGTCAGTGGATGAAACCCTCAGGCTTGTGAAGGCATTCCAGTTCGCTGATAAACATGGAGAAGGTATGTTTAAGTTTTATGTATGCGTTAATTTTTTTATAATGATATTAAGCATAGACAGACAACATAGAAGCACCCCCAATAGTTTAACTATTGGGGGTGCGGTCTATTCCCGTTCGTCCCCTCGATTTCGTCCCCTGAAGGGTACGAACGGGAATTTACAAAAATAATAATTAGTTCCCGATCGTCCCAATCGTAATTCAAGAGGGGACGAATGGGAATGTCTTCTTCGATTAGTGCCATTCGTCCTACTAAAAAGATGTGTGCAGAAATATGGGGGTGCTTCTATGTTGCTACAAACAAGGCTTGAAGAGTTATAAAAAGTGCATTACCGATTTTTGGGGACTCAATATCCATGGCTGAGGCTGTGGTATCATTTGTAGTTTAAGCAATATCTATTCGCACAGTAACATGCCACAATGAATAATCTTTTCTGAACTGTGATCTCAACCTATTTGCCAAACATCTGCCAAACAAGACTACCATCAAGAGCCATCACGAAGAGCCATCGGACTACCACAGGCCCAATAGGGCTGATGTTGATACGGAGCCGCGGAGACCGTAAACGGTTGCCGGGGCTCCGGCTCGAAGTGGAGGAGTAGGATTGGGATGGTTTTTAGTCAGTAACAGTCTGACACTCCCGCCTCACCCAGACGGGAGCAGCCATTCGATGATTTTCCCCGCTTAAAAAAAGCCATTATACCAGTTTGTTTAGAGATTCTCAAAGTAACTATGTTATCATCATCAAGTCTTTTCATTTTTTGTCTAATACTTTCTTGTTTCCTTTCCAGTGTGCCCAGCCAATTGGAACCCAGACACAAACGCAGCCACGATCAAGCCTAGTCCCAAAGCCAGCAAGGAATACTTTGAAAAAGCCAACTAATGTCTTCCATACAAATTACAACCTTACGGCATTTATATAAGAGTACTTTTTGCATAACAATTGGACATAGTATTATGAAATGTCTAGAAGCAAAACGGGTTTTTCGGAAGGAAAGGTGTGCAATGCAATTTGAGCTTTATTGTAAGGGAAAATGGTGTAGAACAGTAATTATTATGTAATTTATTATTTTTTCAGTTATTGTGTAATGCATAGTGTATCTTGCAGTCATTATAAATGAATATTGTTAAGATTGTTATGTTTTATTGTATCTTGTAAAGTTTGATGAACCACAAGAGTGGGAGTCAGTCTTAAGTGTGGGAGAGCCATGCTTTGGTGCGAATGGGTCGGCTCGACTGGAGTGATACCACGGGCTCACAGAAAACCGACGTGAAACAACGCTTACGTTGTGTTTCGTCGTGTGTGTGAGGTTACCGAAGGCCCAATTACCCTCTCCCCAATTTCCCTAATCCCCGAATCCCCAATAAGCCTCAAATTCCTAACTCCCAAAAGGCCGGCAACGCAATTGTAACGCCTCTGATATTGTGGGTCGGGTGACGCTGTCGATTGCTTACCATCAGGTGATCCGTCGGCTCGTTTACCGGCGCTTATCTCGTAAAAAAGGTTTCCAAATTATATGGAATTGACGTAAATTTTGACACTTGTCAGTGTCATCCCCATACATTTAGTTTTCTACTCCCTCGGGAGACAAGCGCTAAAGTGGGGTTTGGCTATAGGCACTGTTTAGTTAAGTAATGTATGACTATAGTAACTAGTATAAGTAAAGTCATGCACTTTCTGATAAATTAAAATTGTAGTGTGGAGATTATGAGAAGGTAGAGGGGGTTCCTAGACCACTTGTCAGTCGCGGAGAACCTAACGGGTTACCGGGGCTCCGGCTCGACGTGCAGGAGAAGGAACGGATTGGTTTTTAGTCAGTAAGAGTCTGACACTCCTCGCCTCACCCAGGCGGGAGCACCCCAATAGGGCCGATGCCGATTCGGAGTCGCGGAGAACCTAACGGGTTACCGGGGCTCCGGCTCGACGTGCAGGAGAAGGAACGGATTGGTTTTTAGTCAGTAAGAGTCTGACACTCCTCGCCTCACCCAGGCGGGAGCAGTGATTCGATGATTTTCCTCCTTAAAAAAAATCATTTGTCAAACAATGGACTTTTGACGTTGAGAATAGATTGCCCCCTTGCCTTCTATTAACACAAAATAAGTGGCTAATAATTTAATTATCCAAATATAATCTTATCATTTCACGGATTAACACGCGTGAGGTCATGTTGTGAAATAATTTGAAGGCCAATATGTGAATTAATTTTTCGAATCATTGTGTTATTCAAAGCATTCTTAACGGTTTTAATGACCACAGATTATAATAATTACATTGTTTACTAATCTGTTGGCGTTGTGTTACTACTTTTTTGTGGGATAAGGCGGCAAACGAACAAATGGATTGCCTGATGGTGAGCAATCGGCGCTGTCCATGGACACCCAATCGCCAATCACATCCCTGAGGGCACCGCGGTGCTTAGCCCACGCAGGGCATTCCCCTACTGTGTGTTCCATCGTGTCCTCAGGATGGTCCTCGCAGTGTTGACACCCGGGCGTTTCCTCCAGCCCTATCAGACACAGGTACGTGCCGAAGCTCCCATGTCCGGTGAGGACCTACGTCAGGCGGTAGGTGAGGATGCCGTAACGTCTCTCAAGCCACTCCTCAAAGAGGGGACTTACCGCTGCAATGGCAGCGAGCCCAGCCATTTAGGGGTTAAAGTTAGTGCCGTCTATATCATAAGGGCACTCGGGGCCCGTACCCATCAGAGCCCCAAAGGACCGACAATTTCTACGACGAACACATTGATCCAAAAATTGTTGTTTCGAGTCTGGGTGTCTATGTGTATGTGAACTTGTACGTTTGTTAATGAACCAACGATACAACAGGAGAATTTCCTAGGATAGTACAACGTTAAAAAACAAATATTCCACAAGGGCTTTGAGTTATTGTGCTCAAGAGCCCCAGCGTAGTCTAAGATTGCCGTGGGAAAACATTTCAGTACCTATTAAGGATTGATCATAGGGTTGTAGGATTGGTACTCGAGTAGCTGCCTCCTCCTCACACGGCATAGCAGTAGATACCTACTAATTATAATTATCAAGACTGCCTCGTTGGCCGAGTGGTCGCAAGTGCGAATGCCGGGCAAGGGGTTTCGGGTTCGATTCCCGGGTCGGGCAAAGTATTACTGGTTTTATTTTAAATTCTCAGTAGTTCACGGAGTCTGGAAATGTGTCCGGTATATGGAAATAGACTCACCCCCTATTACATGGGACTCATAACATAAATAGTGAAAAGTGGGTGTTACATTGTACAATGGCATTAAGTCCCGTAATGTGCACCTCTGCCTACCCATTCGGGGATAAAAGGCGTGATGTTATGTTATGATTATCAAATGTGTAATTCGTCAGTCGGACCTTAAGACGACGTGAGGTCACCAAATGCCACAACGGTAGGTACTTCAATTCAATAGATACTTCAGACTTGCAGGTGTCAATTCATCATTCATAAGGTCAAGTAGTTACCTGGATCTATTGACTTTCATTTTAACGAGGCAGGTGTACTAATTAATTAATATGCTTATTTACCTACATGTCAATCTGTTTATATTTAGTGGGTAGGTAGGTCTTTTCTGTTCTTTTATCTTTATTGACCCACCAGCAACTGTATACATTAGTATATTAAACAACATGCAGACTCCATACTACTACTGAGAAATAAAAAAAAAAACTCTGTAACACTTTGCCCGGTTATCGAACCCGAGACCCCTTGCCTAGCAGTCACACGACCACTCGGTCAACGAGGCAATAAGAATTTGTTCCACCTAAATGTGTAAGTAGCATGAATAACTGTAGATATTTATAATAGTCAAGTATTTATAAAGTTGTGGTAATGGTTGTACGAGCCATAATGCTCATACAGCAATTTTATATTGAATGCAAACGTATATAATGCATCGAACTAATAACTTTAATTAATCGTACATAAGTCGTAACAAGGTCGCTATCACGTGCTAATGTGTAGCAATCGGAACTAACATAGAATACGTAATAATACGTAAAGTGCGATTCAGATAACTAAACGTAGCCTTTTGGTAGTCGGAAAATAAACAAGTAAACCTAAAGGAACTTCGGCGTCTGAATTATTACCTACAATCTACAATTACAATCGGGATTGTCGTCAACGACGAGAAAAACCCAACAATGGTATTAAAAAATATCTTTCAAGTGATAATGTAAGTACCTATTAACGGTATAAAATTATGAACAGTTGTTCTGTACCTACTACGGAGGGAGCACAAGACCGGTTGTTTTACAACGTGTAGCAGATTCAATACCGTATCAGAGCAATAATAGGTGACCCGACAGAGAACTAAAGTTACAGATGTAGCCCAAAGGATGAATAAGCTGAAATAGCAGTAGGCCGGTCACATTTGTCGAAGAACCGATGATCGTTGGGGTACACGTATACACGTGTTCTGGAGTGGAGACCGCGTCTAGGCAAACGTAGTGTAGGGCGCCCTCCCGCTAGATGAAGTGGCTGGTAGTAGTTGGATGCGTAGAGATAAAGATCGAGCTCAGTGGCGTGCCTTTGGAGAGGCTTATGTCCAGACGAAAACATGTTAGGTAATGATGATGATGATCAGAGCAATAGGATATGTGTAAGTAGGGTATGAAAGAAAAACCCATTAAACTGTCTAACACCGAGCGGTCACCAGTGACCGTAACCTATTGTTCTTTAATTGTGTCTATAATGACGGTACCTACTCAACGAGTTAAGCCTTTGACTGCCAATAAAAAACTGTTGAAGGTAAATCCTTCGCTAACGTCGTCGATCACCGGTGACCCCATAGCGTTTAACATGTTAAGGTAGATGCTTCTAGATAACCCAATTTGAATTTTCTTACGTTTTTTTAAGAAATCTCGATTTAGTTTTGACGGGTCTTTCGGCTCAGTTTATAAGAAGAGTTTCCTAATTTTTTTAATCGCCAATGCGATTATAAAAATAAGACATAGGACTTGTATCAAATTATAGAATACTTGTACCTAACTGGTATAATCGCCTCTGACGCGGTCGGCGGTACGAAGTTCATTAGTCCACGTGTAGGTATACAAAAAATACAAATTTAATAGTTTTCACACTGTATTAAGATAATGCATCTTTTTGTCAAACAAAATTGATCAATTATTCATAATAATATAGTAATTATTCGGTGTTAATAGTATTTAATTAAAATATTTAATGAGTTATTCGTAATAATTATTATAATTGAAAGATTAGTCAGTGTTATTGCGTGCTAGTTAATTTACGTAAATTGACAGACATTTTTTTAAATCGATTATTTATTGAATGAAAAACAAAGCCTACGCCTTTTGTTTTATTTAAAGTTTTTTCCAAGAACTTTAGTGACGTCTTTATTATTTTTTATTTTTATGCTCATTTTTTGATAGATATATAATTGTGTCGAATACCTAAAGGCCAAGGCCAAGACCAGTATGAATGGGGAACATCACTAAACTGGAGACAAGGGAACGGGGTGTGCAAAAAGGGAAAACAATGTTATTGAACACCCCATAACGTAGTAAACGTAGGTTATAAAATAATTCTTTTATAACTTAACTACTTTTAATAAAACCGGTTTCAACCCCCTCTTTTTTAACTCGTCGAGTACCGTCATTATAGACACAATTATAGACCAATAGGTTGCGGTCACCGGTGACCGCTTGGTGTTTGACAGTATACCTACTGAAACCTTTTCCTAAGTGTAACAAGTTCTTTTCTGACAACCGCATCAAAAGCGGTTCGGCCAATCACGAGATACTCACGCACAAACGTTCATACACACAGGTTAAACTGAGAAACTCCTTTTTTGAAGTCGGTCGTCAAGATCTAAGCGGTCACTGGTGACCAGCCTGCCATCATTATAGACCTTATTTCCGATGTTTAGAGACTACTTTTGTACAAACAAATGTGGATCATTCATAAGGGTTAAAAAGGGAAACAAATACGATTGAATGTGTTATATTTTATTTATATTAACAATATCTTCTAATTCAGTCATTTAATTATGTACTTACATAAAACTTAACACTACGTAAATTTACATTTATAAGTACCACAAATTACAATTACAATGGGGTAGACGACTAATTTTTATTTTAATGTCCGTCGGGTAGATTATTTAAAAACATTAGACACGTATTTTTTATTTTCTTACGGAAACGAATAGTTTCGAAGATATATTGATTTGAAATATCGCGTGACGTCACTTCTCAGTACATTTTATACTAAGAAATGACGTTTTAGCCCCCACTCCTAAACTTTGATTCGTTTTATCTAAGTATTGATTTATTATACAACAAAATAAAAAAATACGTGTCTAATTTTTTTTTATTACCTAAGTTACGGACTAATTATATTTTTAATTTTCATACCCTGTCATCATCCCCAATGGGGATGATGACAGGGTATGATTTGATTCTTAGGTACCTTACAATACAATACATGAACTTATAATACATTTATAATAGTGTTAGACATAATTTTTAACCTCAGATAACCGTCCTCACACGACGAAATACAATGAAAGTTATTTCACGTCGGTTTTCAGTGAGGCCATGGTATCAAGTGTGAAACAAGTGAAACAAGTGAATTTATTTCTGCAAATAGGCTACAAGGCAGCACTTTTACAAGTCAATTTTATCAAGCGAACGATGAAGCCGACATTTCCTAACTGACTACTCTGAGAAGAAATGCCGAAACAAATTCAGAGGTCTGTCTCTTTTAAAGTCCAGACAAATGTGTATAAAAGATATCACTCGTCAAGCCCGCATAATTCATACCGAAGCATGGCTACAAGGTACACACGGCTACTCATCGAGCTTTACATAACCAGTATAAACTGAACGTTAAATGTCCGGAAAGATGATGCGACGCGACACCAGGATAAATTGGTTTTGTATAGATTGATGTGTGGCCGTGTGTACAAGTTCTTCCTAAGTCCTACTTTAACAAATGACACAATACTAGAACCTTAATCTAGGTATATTTTTGGGTAGGTATGAGAAACGCACATAATGGTAATAGGGATGATGACAGTGTATGAAAATTAAAAATATAATTAGTCCGTCGCGTCAGTTAGGTAATGAAAAAATATTAGACACGTATTTGTTTATTTAGTGGTATAATAAAATGATACTTAGATATAACGAATCAAAGTTTAGGATGGGGGCTAAAACGTCATTTCCACGTATAAAATGTACATAGAAGTGACGTCACGCGACATTTCAAATCAATATTCCGTCGAAGGTATTTCTTTCTGTAAAAAATAAAAAATACGTGTCTAATAGTTTAAAATAATCTACCATATAAACATTAAAATAAAAATTAGTCATCTACCCTATTTAGAATTTATGAAGTTTAGTACCTACACACCGCCACCAAGAATTCTAAAAATACGCAGGTGTCTATGATACTATATCTTTCGAAAATAGTATTTAAAAAAGAAAATGTTTATTATAAATTATGACTGCCTCGTTGGCCGAGTGGTCGCAAGGGCGACTGCCGGGCAAGGGGTCTCGGTTTCGATTCCCGGGTCTGGCAAAGCATTATTGGGTTTTTTTTTAAATTATCAGCAATAGCACGGAGTCTGGAATTGTGCCCGGTATATGGCAACAGGCTCACCCCCTATTACATGGGACTCATAACATAAATAGTGAAAAGTGGGAGTGTCAGACTCTTACTGACTAAAAACCACCCCGTTCCTTCTCCTGCACGTCGAGTCGGAGCCCCGGTTACCCGTTAGGTTCTCCGCGACCGGCAGTCGCACTTGCGACCACCCGGCCAACGAGGCTGTCAAAGCTAAGATCAGTCAGCCAGTTATCCAGGTATTGATGAAGCCGTCAATTTTAATCTTCAATTCAAAAACTAATTATTTCTAATGTTCAAATTTTGACCTTGGAAAAGTTAAGCCGTGTCATTGCTCTCTAGACATTCGACATTGTTAGTTCATAATATGATGCTAAATGACCCGAGTGTATACTAATTCGGTTTGTAAATAACACTTGTTAAAGAAACAGCCAGTGTCAAATTCAGTTCCATATCCGTTCAATAGATGAAAAAAAAACTAAACTATTCTAGGTGTTTTGAAATGTGATTTGCCCAGGGGGCCTAAAAAGGTAACATTGTATGTTTCAAATCTGAATCATGATATGTGACATTTGTCATGTCATAAAAAGGCATTTTGATGTTTCATAATATGAACGGAAAGTGTTTCATATTTACAATTCATCTAATATAATTTGGTATCGTATCGTAAAATGGTTTACAAAGAGTGAATTCCTATTTGGTGGAATTTAGAAGACTCGAATGGTTGGTTAGTGGTATGTATATCGAGATAAAAGTAGAGTCTATGTTGCTTTCCAAAAAGTAATTCAGGCGAGATAGTGGCCAAACGTTGCCCCATCACATTCAGAAGAAAAAAAATAAAAAAAGGTGTTCTATGAAATTTATGACAAGCTCTAAAGTAACTCCGAAATCACTGATCAACTTTAAAGTAACAAACATAACATAACATAACATCACGCCTTTTATCCCCGAAGGGGTACGCAGAGGTGCTCACTACGTTACGGTACTTAATGTCACTAAACAATGTAGTACCCACTCGAACACGAAGAGATTGTACAATAAATAAATCACTACATAGTATAAAACAAAGTCGCTATCCGCTGTCTGTCTGTCCCTATGTATGCCTAGATCTTTAAAACTACGCAACGGATTTTGATGCGGTTTTTTTTTAATAGATAGAGTGATTCTTAAGGAAGGTTTATATGTGTAATATATGCATATTGCACCCGTGCGAAGGCGGGGCGGGTCGCTAATATAAAATATATAAAGTAACAATACTATACAATTGTTGGTCCCTGATCCTGAAATTCCTATTGCCTGAAATGTTATTCCCTGAAGAGTAAGTGTTCTATGGAAAGCATTTTACAAGCTGATCTATTAGTTTCGGAGTTCATGTATTCGTAACAAACAACCATCAAATTATCAATTTGCACCATAAGTAAACATACCTACTGATATTGTCAACATGTCTAGATTTGTAGATCTATCTGTTAGTACAGATCGGTCTACACCTGTTATTTACATTTTAAATTATTAGGTACACAGTGTATCTTTAAATATATAGTCGGTAGACGGTACCTAACTTATTCATGTTCGTTGCTCAATCGTGATTTCATGTCCAGAAACAGGTTTTAAAAGAAAATCGATCTTCAGTTGTAGATTGCTGTCATCGGCCGACACCTTGAAGGTTCTCAGGAAATGTACTAGCGTCGTCTTCATAGAGATCATGGCGTATGTTCTACCTGTTAAATATAAAATTTAAATGAACAAAGATATATCAACGGTCTTGTAATTCTGATACCAGATTTATTCCCTCTTTCGCGCATGCGTTTACAACACCACAAATATCACACATAGATAAAAAAAACAGGGGGCTTACTCTTGAATCCAATTCCGATCGATCGACATTGGTATTGTGAAATTTCGTACTCTTGAGTTACAACACTAGCGCCCATTGCATCCGTATTGCGTGGATCACAGAACATATAAAGGAGGATAGAACGGCCTTGTGGGCGGTACACGCGTGCCGCGGTTATGAGCAAATGCTCCAAATCTACCAAAATGTCAAAAACCGGCCATCAAACGCAATGTTGTTGTGACAGCGTACGAAACTCCGCAAATAATATTAAATTATGCCGTCTTGGACTATTGTAATGTGTCGGAAAAGAAGACAGGTGTGCAATGTAGCACGAGAAGGGATTTCTTTCCACCAGTGACTTCAAAAACATTAATATACTTGTGATATTTGTAATTATAACATTAATATTATGACGTTTCTAGACAAAAACGACATTATCGCAAGCAGTATACATTGCTTGCAATAGATACGTACCGTTTTGCACTACATAAACGATCGCGCAATGTATTACGTTCACAACGAGAGTCCCGACTATCAAATCAAAACGTCATTTCCTCGAATCGATATAGAGAAGTGTCAATTTGTAAACAATGTCGATAATTACTATGATATAAAGGATTATTATCAAATTATACACATTATAACTAAAATAATTTTATTTATTACGACTAATTATGAAATAGGTTTTAAGTGAGGCATTTTATTCGTATTTCAGTTTTATATAATTTTTTATGTGTTCGTTGTGTTTTGTTCAGTAAGTAGACTGATTTTATGATTTAGGAAATTTTGTTTTACATTTCTACCTTGATATCATCTAAGCGACTTCTAAATTATTTTTACCCGACGCCCGGTGTGTCCTTCGCGATGGCTGGGTTGCAAGGAGGCAGCGCTTCGCTGCCTCACGCGTCCCGCCTCCTCCTTAGCTAGCATGACTGCTTCGCAAAACGAGGTGACGGCATTCCAATCCCCCTCGCTCCGCATCATGGCCGGCACTAGGCCCGGACGCGAGAGGTCGCCATCGCTGATCACTTCCCTGAGGGCACGGCAGTGCTCAGCCCACGTAGGGCATTCTCCCACTGTGTGTTCCACCGTGTCCTCAGGGCGGTCCTCGCAGTGATGACACCCGGGCGTTTCCTCCCGCCCCATCGGACACAGGTACCTCCCGAAACTTCCATGTCCGGTGAGGACCTGCGTCAGGCGGTAGGTGAGGACGCCGTAGCGTCTCTCAAGCCACTCCTCAAAGAGGGGACTTACCGCTGCAATGACAGCGAGCCCATTTCATACATGCTTAGGCTCAAATTGTAAATAGTATGAGAAATTCTTAAAAGCCAGCCGAAATTTTAGACAATAATTTAAATAGTTGTTGAGATTTTCTATTCGAGAACAAAGCTATGACAACAAATAAGATGACATTATATCCTGGGAGCGATTGTATTGTACCTTTTTTAAGAATAGCTATGTTCACCTGATGACTTTTCTAGTTTTCAGAGCTTTTAGAGCTGACTTAATTTACGTGAGCTAAATATTGTGTTTGCCTGGAGGTTGCGGCGCTGTTTCATACAACTTATACGTACTTTCTAAGTTAATTTGCACACCACTCACATTCAGTAAAGGAAATTATGTAACCGAAACTATATAATAATTCCTATTTATATTAACTATTAAAGAAATACGAACGACGATTATCGGTTGTCATCATACGAATGTCATGATGATATCTAACAGAGACAATAACAGAGTTTTGAGCACAGATTAGATATATCATGATATGGTTACGTTATGATAATTCTCAATATTTCATTATTTTATGATTTTTCATTCCTTAGGGAGAAATTACGCTATTTTTTATATATTTTGAATTAAGTAAAAATCTATTATTTTTGACCCCATGACTTCCCAGACTCCTTTTATTTTTATAAAACTTACAGTTGAAAACAAAACAAAATCGAAATAATACCTTTTCGGTTTTTTATACTTTTTTGATTACTACCAATCAACAATTTACTTATAATTATATTCCATGTCAAATTATTTTAATGTTAATAATGTAATTGATTTTAAAAATCAGATATGTATTTTTCTATGTATAGTTATTTACATTAACGTAAATACATGTACACAATATGCCTTATACAAATCCGCATAGTCCGCAATACATGTAAATTAAGAAGCTAGATGCCATTAATTTTATCGATATCAATAATCGACCTTTCTCTCCCCCTACCCTAAATGAGTTTTTTACGCCTGTATTAGTGTATGTCAAACGAAATTTTGCGTCAGTGTGACGACCAATAACAAATCTTTTAATCTAGTGCGTGTAGTTTATTTGTGTGCATTTTCCGTGTAGGTATTAGTCTCTTGCTTGTAGTAAAGTTAAAGAGTGGGGGACAAACGGCGACGCGTGTTCTAATACAAATCAGAAACTATTTCCTTTCTAGCCTTCTTTATATGTTCTGTGGCGTGGATATTGAATGAACTAAATGGTATTGAGTTTGTCTTTATATTTCGTATTCTGAATGCTATTTTAATAGCTACGGTAGGGGTTGTATAGTATTTACATTAAATATTTATTAAGATTTTATTGGATTGAAATTGCATTGACATTGAGATTGGTTTTAAGAGTAAGCACCCTGCTTTTATATTACATTAATAGTTTGCTGTGGAAATCAAATTCTCGCCATTTGCATCCATTGGTTCCCCACGACTTTGACGATCGCGAGTCGTGATGTTGTCGGATCTTTTTATTTATGAACTATAAAAAAAATACGTACCCAAACAGGATCGTTTGCCCAAGCTGAATCCGATGAAGGCACCAGGGTTGACAGGCGTGTCCGGATCCAACCATCTTTCTGGTCGGAACTGCTCAACATCTTTACCCCAAACGGGGTCACGATGGGCTCCAAACAACAAGATGATACATTGACTACCTGCGCGCATCGTGTAGTTCTCTGGAAAATTATTAAGTTGTTAAAATGTGCTTCAATGCAATTTATGCTCTGGTCTGGGCCGGTAGTTCCAACATTAATTGCGGCAGAAATAGGTCGCTAAGTTTGAATTTCCATGAATAGATTTACAACTTTATCTTTGAAATTTTATCTTGAAAATAGACTAAACAAGTCTTCAAGTTTCATCATTATCATTGCCAACACGACGAAACTTGTTAGCCCTAGGGCTAGGGCCTAGGGCTTAGCCCTAGGGCTAACAAGTTTCGTCAATGAAAACTATAAATCAATTTGTTTGGATATATGTAAACATTTTCAGCTGAGAATCTTTAACGCTGAACAACAACTCGCCACTTGAACCAAATCTCTCCCCGCAACTTTTAACGATGCCGTTAGATGATTGCCGATGTTGGTCCACCTAGTAGTCTACTCATTGCTACATTACTTAGCACATTCTGCCCAGTCCCCGAGCGGTTACCGGTGATCGCTCTCCATTTACTCCATTGTAGACCTTATTTCCATTGTTTACAGAATACTCTTGCATGAACAAATGTTGTGGTATTTTTAAAATGGGGATTAAAAAGTGAAGAGTCATGTCAATTGCTATCACCTATCACACACGAGTAAAACCTATCTTTTTTTTTTATAATAACTATCGTGAGACATACTAAATTAAGTAAAAACGCGGGTTACTCACGTGAATTCATTCATCATGAATTCACGTGAGTAACCCGCGTTTTTACTTAAAACCTATCTTCGTATTGTTTCTACTCTAAAATTATAAGACGCGGAAACCAGTTGATAAATCTTCATAATTGAATATCTAATCTCCTAAACGCTATAAATTGTGTTATTTATTAAATTGTTTTAAAAATATCCTAAATACATATTTTGCACTCAGAAACGTGATGCGTCACTCACGTTCTTCTACTGAGATAACATTAAGTAAAAATAACAATCAAGTTTTCGGATAACATACCTACCTACATACATACATAACTTCACACCCGTCTCCCATGGGGGTAGGCAGAGACTATGGAACGCCAATTACTACGATTCCTACATACAATAACATATGTTTTCGGATAAAAATAAAATTATGATAAGATCTTTTTACAAATCAAATTTTATACAACTTACTAAGTTTGACGTCCTTGTCGACATATCTCAAGGTGACTGGACCAGTGGTGAAGACTCGGAGACTTTCTTTAATAACTGCTTCTGTGTACACCAGCTTTTGAAGATCCTCCTTATCAACATCTCTGTCTGTTGGGAATACTTGTTTGATCCTGTTCACAATAAAGACATATTACTTGCTAGCTTCTGCCCACAGCTTCCTACGCTTTTTAAAGGGGTTCAAGTCAGATTTACCAAAAAAAATATGCACTATTTTTTAATAGTCACCGAAAATGACTTCTCATCTTCTTTGACTATTAAAAATCTCTCTTTCTCGCTCTTCATCTGAACTATCTGAGAACTATCTTCACTTTAGGAAATCACGTCAATTAGTAGCTCAGTTTTGCTGTGAAAGATGGACAAATGAACAGACACACACACTGTCACATTTAAAATATTTGGCAACAATGGGTTGCCTTACGGAACCACGCAGGGCTTAGCGGGTTGCCAGGGCTCCGGCTCGAAATGCAAGAGTAGGAACGGGGTTGTTATAGTCAGTAAGAGTCTGACACGATCTCGCCTCACTCGAGCGGGAGAAGTCATTGGATGGTTTTCAAAAAAAAACTATGGTTTCGCTCAACCGAAGTGGCTCCATGGCTCACTAAAATCGGCGTGAAACAACTCTAGAATTGCATTTTACTACGTGAGTGAGGTTGTGTAACCTCACTCACGAAGGCTCATTCTCCCTAAAGGCCGGCAACGCACTTATACCTCTAAATTCTCTGATGTTGTCTATGAGCGGCGTGGTCTATTAGTTGCCGGTATCTTATAAAATATCTGCAAATACATATAAGTATACGAGACTCACTCTTGATAGATCTTCTCCTGGATTTCAGGATGAGTTCCCAGCAGTATCATGATGTAACTGAGTAAGCTCGAAGTCGTGTCGAAGCCAGTGACGATAGCTGTGTCCACTTCTTCTCTGATCTCCTTGTCAGACAATGCATTGTCGTCTGATAACTCCAACAGAAGGTCCAGGAATGGCTTGTATTTTGTATCTGGATTGGCAAAAAGATGAAAACAAACTCGTCAGATTTATTTATAAAGTATATTTGATAGTTTTAACTACAAAAAATGAAGAAATTCTTTTAGTTATTTAAATAAAGTATACAGTTATTATTAATCTAAAAATAAGTATTATCCGTGAAAAACTTGTACAGCGATATACCTACTTACTACTACTTATCATTTCATGTACTCCATACAGCAGACAATATTACATAGGACTACACATTAAAAGCAATACTTCTTATTTAACACAAAAATATTATTAATAAATTACCCGTATTGAATTTTAACCTTCTTGTATCGAAAGTTATCACTAAACATAGTTGTTTTATTTTTAAATGTGGAGCATCTATAGCTATGTAATATGTACTGCCTTCGATATACGGCTCAGAAAATAAGTACTTACCTGAAGTGTATTCAGTACCGTTGAGTCTAGCTGCTTTCTTCATTTGTATCACCTTAAAATAAATTAAAAATGTTTATAAGATAGTAACCATACTTTTTTGGAAAATTCTGCCTGGTCGACCAAGTGGTGGTTTGTTTTATTTTTGTGTTGAGAGTATTATTTTGTTATTGTGTCAGGCAAGATCTCTATCTGTCGCAATCTGTAGAAAGATTTTAAAACGAAATAACTAGCGTAGCGTGCTATTGTTTAAAAATGGACAGGTGAAAAGAAGGTAAGGTACGTAGCATGAATTAGACAGATACCAAAGCTTGATTGTTACTTCTTGGTTTTGATACCAAATAAAAGGGATTCACAAGGAATTTCTTCTGCTGCTAAGAAGACAGAAATCAAGACACCCCACCTGAATGGCTTATTGTGTTGACACAAGTTGTAGAAATCAATAAATAACACTTCTTGGTTTAAAAACATTAAACTGCCTAATCTATCAACCAGTCTATTTTGGTATTACTTAATCCCGTTAAAAAATTTGAAATAAATGGCAAAATCTTAAAATTTATTGACCATATCTTTTAATTTCAATTAATTACATTTATACATAATCCTTTCGAATTGAGTTTCTAATTGGCATTCTAAAAAACTGAATAGGAACTGCTCGTAAAAAATACTTTAAAAGTCTGTATGGGTCGTAAGCATTATTATCATTTATGATAAATGATAATAATTTTTGTTCGAAAAACATTGCTTTTTTGTTTTTGTTTTTCGATTCTCAAAGTTGATGGTGTAGGTAGAGGATATATCAATATAAAATTTTGGCTGACTTATAAAATTAAATCTAGTTCATACCTAATCATGCTTCACTTTAACACTTGTAAGCACTCAACCAACAATGCAGTAAGTTTAAGAAAGTGTGGGAGAGCTATCCTCAAATTCCTAATTTCCAAAAGGCCAGTAACACACTTCTTACCTTATCAGACATATCATTGACAATCTTTACAACTTCATCTAGGCGTTTCTGATAGCCACACAATTGGAATATTAGTTGACTTTGGAGCCAAAACTTCTGGAACCTTCGAGTTACAATATTCAATATCTCGTCTACAGCACGCATATATTTCTGAATAAACTGTTTGTCTTCGAAACCGTTTGTGAAACCGAATGCAGTTACTGAAACAAAAAGCCTAATTAGAAGGAGACAAAGAAAGAAAAACAAGCATTGATTTGTTACATCAGCAAACTTCGTTCCGCCTAAAATGTTTTCTGTCACCTTTTAAACCTTCCCTAGACTTCCACAAACATCTCAGGACTTTATCAAACCTAATCAGTTCAGTCGTTCTCGAGTTTTAGCGGGGGAAACGAACTGAAATTCAAATGTATTTACATAGATAGATTATTCGAAGGCTGTAGTTTCATTTGATTATTAAGAAATGGTGCTGATGATTTGTCGTTACTCAAAATATTATAATAGTGCTACAACAGTTGCTACAAATTCTTTGTAAAATGGCACGATATGCAAGTACAACATTCTACAAAACTATCGAAAAATATCAATTCTGCTGATTAAAATACAACTTGTCAATAGGCTCACCCTCTATTACATGGCACTCATAACATAAATAGAGAGAAGTGGGTGTTACATTGTACAGTGGCAGTGTCGTACATGTGCACAGCTGCCTACCTAAAAAGCGTATTATTATGTGCCATGTCACTGCTCTCAACCAATCCAATATAAATAGAGATGCTAATTAGAAATGCTAATAACTATAAGTTACCGCGATGCTTAAGAAGTCGGGAGGATAATCTATTGTAGAAGCCTTTTAATATTCGGGGGATACACGTGTAATACCCCTATGGGTCTAATTTAACCAACAAGGCATAAATGTAAAAATAGCTTTCTTTATTAAATTTAAGCGACATTGGTAAGGATACCAAGACTGTTTGAAGTATTTACAATTAATATACCTACTAAGTTTTGAACTAACCATTTATTATCGGCTATTATCGGCTTCATAAACAGTCGCATGCTTCATAGTAAAAAGAATAATCGAATAACATGTTAAAACTCATCATTTAGGAACTATCAGTAGGTATAAACGAAACAGTTTTATTCATAAAAGTGTGATAAATATAAAATGCGCATATTGAAGCTAATAGTATTATTCCTTATTTATATAGCTTACAAGGTATCTAGACATTTTTTATATTTGTGTATCATTTAGCGATACTATGTAAAAAAATATACAAGAGTAAAGATTGTCTCGTTTGTTGTTCAAACAGATATAAACGTGACTACCAAAGGTCGGGGAAATAATTATTTTGTGTATTTCGGTTTCCCAAAAAAAATAATAATAATCAAATAGCATGGAGTCTAGAATTGTATCGGGTATATTGTAATAGGCTAACATGAGACTTGATAAGACTCCTAACACAACAGATGAATGATAAGTATGATAAGCACCTCTGGCTATTTTATTGGAAATACAATATAACAGCATACACATACGACCCACTTAGTTTTTAGTCACATTTCCGTGGTTTTTGGCGACTGGGCTTCTCCCTGTACAAATACAGTCTTTTTTGTGTATTTAAGCTTAATTCATTCTGTCTCCTGCAGTAATTCACCGAGGGAAGAAGAAACTATCGTTTTTTTGCTTCTCCTTTTATAATATCTTTTCATCAATTTCGTTGCGGGAACCAAGATGCCGGTGTTTTCTTTCATGGCTGTATCTACTGTAGATCCTGGCTTACAGGAGTTGCAGCGGTTTTGGAAGGCTTTAGCGGGCTTGTTCCGTTGAAAAAAATGTTCCGTCGGTGATTAAAAGGCGTGATGTCATCACCAGTTCGTTACAGTCCACTGCTAGACTATGGACCCTATCTGCACAAGGGGTTCAAGTTTAGCAGGAATCACTGCTGCCCAGTTTCTGTTCATCATCATTCATCATCAACGGAGAGGGAACGGGCATTAACCTCTTGCGTATGAGACATAATGGAATACACATAGTGTTTCTGTTAATCATCATGCCTGCTCAATAGCGGGTAAGCGATTTTAAATTAGTAATTAGAATTAGCAAGGCCAGATTTCCTCATGACGTTTAACTTCATCGTTTGTCAGTACACAGTAACATCATAACATCACGCCTTCTATCTCCGAAGGGGTAGGCAGAGGTGCACTTTACGACACTTAAATGCCACTGTACAATGTAACATCCACTTTTCACTATTTATAGGGGTGAGCCTATTGCCACCACCGGGTACAATTCCAGATTTCGTGTTACTATAGAGAATTATTGAAAAACCTAATAATATTTTGCCCGACCCGGGAATCGAAACCGAGACACCTTGACGAACGACTGCTGTCAGTAGTGTCTAAGTAATCTTAAAAAGTCTTTGTAGATATACTTACAGCAAAACGTCTGCAAAGCGTTGTTCCTCAAATAATCAGTGTGATCGAACTTTCCTTTTCCAACTCTTGTTTTTAAATTCTCAACCAGCATTCGAGATTGGCTGTTGAAAACTTCTAGAAAGCTGAGCATCACTGGTAGACTGAAGGCTGGTGTCAACAGCTTTCGATGACGTTTCCATATCTCACCTTGATGAAGAAACAGAAGGAATTAATTAATTAGGATTTTTTTTTGTTAGTTTTCTTCATTACATCGGAATATTAGGAGTAGAGTCGATACCAGAGGGCTACGATGCAATATATGCAATCATATATTATAGTTAAATCTGTGATAGTTAGGTATACCATTATGTATATACATTAATATATATTATAGCTAGGTCTGTGATGGCCTTACAATGAGTACTAGATTTGACAATTCTTTGTTTATTCTATAAATTATTGTTCTGGACCCAACCTCGGAACAACAATTGTCACACTCACGTGATAAACAGATAGTTACCTATGATAAACATTATGAATATGTAAACGCATCTACCACACAGAAGAAGATCGTAATTAGGTATAGGTGAAGCTTTTATGTATACTTATTTTTATTTATTTATTGCACAATGTAAGTACATATATAGAGGTCTGTTATGACTTTCTTCCATTTCTTTTCGTTTTTTAACAAGATAATGTGTTTTAGTAATCGAATTATTTTCATTCAAATTATTGTGCGTTGCTTCCGTCCGTGCGTCGCTGCAGGGGTGCCGACAGTGTTGGGTACTTACTGTGCCCAGTTCAAACTGGGGCATGCTGCCACCCTCTCTTTTATTTTAATTTGTTTAGATTGTTTTTTGCTTTTATTGCTTTTTTTATTTTGTTTTCAATGTTATTGGTAAAACGGGGGGAATAGCATTCGAGGGGTGAATAGATACAGGATTTTTTTTAAGGGGGGAAAATCATCGAATGACTGATCCCGCCTGGGTGAGGCGGGAGGGAGTGTCCAGGCTCTTATTGACTAAAAACCACCTCGTTCTTTCTCCTGCACGTCGAGCCGGAGCCCCGGTAACCCGTTAGGTGCTCCGCGACAGATACAGGAATGGGGTGAATAAATGTTAAAATATGTTCTCAACGTTTATTCACCCCTCTTCTGTTCCTATTCACCCCTTGAATTTTATTCACCCCGTTTTACCGTATTTTAAGTTTGTATATTTGGTGGTTCATGCCTGGTGACGAATAAATTTATTTAATTTTTTGTTTCTTTCTTATGAATAAAAAAAAAACAATTATTGGAAACGTATTAATTACAATACAATGACTGCACGGTTAGCGCAGTGGCCGTTTAACTGGCTGCTGGGCAGCATATATCGGGTCTTATTCTCGCACGAAGCAACATTTTGTGTGACCTACAAATGGTTTTCAGGTCTGTACTTGTATGTTTGTAGACGTGCCCATAATACTGGAGTCATTCCTAGAATGGGTCCACGTTTTTTAAACAGAATAATAATAAAAATGTGTCCCATTGAATTCAGATTAAAGTTGTCTAAAAGGCCTCTGCGCAGTTGGCTTTGGTCCATTCGTACGCCTCCTAAATGACCGGGACCCTGTAGTCCCGTGAATGGTAAAGACACACATATAATAATAATAGTAATCGAGTATTTTGTACAAAAACAAACCAAACTTGCTGTGAAACCTTATGAAAATTATACTAACCTGAAGATGTGATCAATCCTTCACCCAACCAAGGCTTGGCATAATCATAAGTAAAGTGCTTCTGTAGGCAAGCATTCGCAGCTGTCAAGGCGTCTTCAGGATCTGTGATTGCTGCGATCGAGATACTTAGATATAATTATCTACATGTATTAAAAGTGACTGCTTCGTTGGCCGAGTGGTCGTAAGAGCGACTGCCGGGCTGGATTCCCGGGTCGGGCAAAGTATTACTGGGTTTTAAAAACATCTCGGTAGTAGCACGGAGTCTGAAATTGCCCGGTATGGCAATAGGCTCACCCCCTATTACATGGGACTCATAACATAAATTGTGAAAAGTGGGTGGTTACATTATAAAGTGGCATAATGTACACGTCTTCCCTTCGGGGATAAAAGGCGTGATGTAATGTTATTAAAGTGTCTACATAATAATACATATCTTTTAGCCCGTAACAGTCTATTCCTGGACCATGGGCCTCTTCAACATAAATACTAGTCGTAGGCGGGTACGAGAAAGAAGTGTTCTTTAATTTTTCAAAAATTCCGAGTAATAGAATGAAGTATAAAATTGTGTCAAATAAAGTCATTTATTTTGGTATTTTCATCTGAGTTTTGTAAAATGTTACGATAAAAACTTCATTTCTTATAGTCATGGGTGACTTAGACTTAGATGGTTTGGTTAGTAAGAGTCTGACACTCCCTCCCACCTCAACCAGGCGGGAGAAATAACCCGTTAATTTTTACCCTCCTGAGAAAAACGGGTAACAGAAGGGTAATGCTTTAGGGAAAAGGGTAAAGGTTTAAGAGGTACGGTCAACATTGGAACTGATCCAATTCCCGTCATATTGTATTTAAGTTTTGTTACTTACCGTAATATATTCGATATCCCAAAATCAGAACTAGAACTCCGCCTTTTTCCATGGCTTTCATGGCAACTACTTTTGCAAAATTCCATAAGTCTGTTAGACAAAGAAACAATAATATGTTTACTATTAATTTAAATATATTATAGATCATTAGTAATCTATACAAATGTTAGTTCTTCACGAACATAAATGTCATTATATTATAATGTTTTTTTAAACTTATTTTTTAAAAAACGTTACTGCAAATTGTCAGTAACTGAATAAAGATAAAATGAATATTTTAACGTTTTAAAATAAAAAAGTTTAAAATTAGAATTTGATTTAAGCCTAAAATAGAATAACAATTTTATAGGGTAAATGAATTAAATAGACTTATCTCCGTTTTTTTCAGTATACGGGCATTCTAAAGCACTACCCGAATTATTTATTTTTTAATTCAAAAACTTCCGATTTTTTCAAGAAAACAAAATTGATTTTTACGCAAAACTCGTGAAAAATCAGTACTTACAAACTCCGTCACCTATTAAGAGGTGCAAATGTCCAATAATTGGTAGGTGCCCAGGGTACATTGGGGGCAGTTTGTGTTTACTACCCACAATAAACACAAGCCACGCCCATATTGCGCAGAGGCACATCAAAACACAAAATAACAATACACCAATCATCTCGTCTGAATATCTGTCAAGAATTGAACAAACTGCAAACTTAAGCTCAAATTATATATATATAGAGAACACAGCCTTCGGCAAAACTGTCTTCATGACAACAAATGAAAGGTCCGTCTGTCAGTTTGTCATTCTGAATAGTGTTCGCTCGTTATCAATTTGTGGAGATGTGGTAATCAATTGACAATATCTTTTTTAGTGTTAGTATTTTTGTATGTGTTATTTTGTATGTGTTATATATAGGTGCACATTATGCCACTGTACAATGTAACACCCACTTTTCACTATTTATGTTATGAGTCCCATGTAATAGGGGGTGAGACCATTGCCATATACCGGACACAATTCCAGACTCCGTGCTACTACTGAGTTTTTTTTAAAAACTCAATAATACTTTGCCCGACCCGGGAATCGAACCTGAAACCCCTTGCCGGGCAGTCGCACTTGCAACCACTCGGCCAACGAGGCAGTCTACTCTATTTAACTTTTCCTATAAAAGTTAGGTGTGATTTAAATATTAAAAAAGCATATATACGGTCGAATTGAGAACCTCCTCCTTTTTTTGAAGTCGGTTAAAAACAATGTAGGTAACATCTTTTCTTTTCTTTTTTTAAATCTCACATTGGAATTAATATTCAAAAATATTTAAATGCAATCATTTGCAACATTTTGAATTTGCCCCTCATTTGAATTAATAAAATGATTATTTTTGTTTATGTACCTACATCTATACATATAATAAAATTGTAGAAAAGTGGTGTCTGTACATTGAAAATAAAAATAAAAAAGATAGCAGGGGCTATTGTTATGTCGATGTCGAACCCAAAAATGTAACTAACTTTTTTTTGTCTGTTTGTCTGTTTGTCTGTTCACGCTAATCTCAGAAATGGCTTATAAATATATATATATTTAACAGGGTGCGGAAAAGGTGATAGTGGTTTTATTCCTCAGATTCCTCTCATTCCAAAAAAATTTCCGTTTAATTTTAAACGAATTCAGTTTCCAGTGAGCCTATGTTTCGCCATGACAATTAATAAAGCTCAAGGTCAGACTCTAAAAGTTGTGGGTATAGATCTAAGTATCAGCTGTTTTTCGCACGGTCAATTGTATGTGGCTCTGTCCCGTGTTAGCAATCCCAGCAGCCTGTATGCTTTCACCCCCGATGGCCATACGTCTAATATTGTATATAGAGAAGCATTACAGTAAAGTAGGTTTTTTAGCTACCCAAAATGACTGTGATTATGATCCAAATCTAAAATAAAAATAAGTATATATTTAAAAAAAAAACGCTGCTCATAGTCACTATTCTACGCGAACGAAGTCGCGGGCACAGCTAGTCTATATATAAAAATGAAACCAGTGTCTCGTTGTCACTCCATAACTTGAGAACGGCTAGACCGATTTGGCTGATCTTTTTTTGTTGTGTTTGTTATTCTCAGGAGAAGGTTCTTAAGACAGAAAAATTCCTAAAAATCCTAAGGAACGAGATTGCGCGTACGAAGTCGCGGGCAAAAGCTATTAATTTAATAAAAACTTAAATAAAATGAATACTAACTATTACTAAATTAAATATATACAACTTAAATAAAATTTATTAAAATAAATTAAAAACAACTATTTACATAAAGCATCGAAAAATTCGTCCGCATCGACGTCAGTGGGGAAAGCACACAGAAGGCTGGCAGCATTGCCACGTTGTATGGCAATGCTTAACCCCTGACCGAGAAAAAGACCAGCCCTCTGGTCACGAGATGCGTCGACGAGGCGTTTCGAAATGTATAATGATGTGTCTAACCTAACCTAACATCTCAAAATTTTTCTCATTATTTTTGAAAATCGAATTCAATATTGTAGTCCATTTTTAGAAAACATTTACTTGTTGGACGGTTTCTTAGTAATATATATTATAGCATTAAGGTCAGGGCTTCTGGCACTTGGTAGAAAACACATTATTATATTTTTATAGGCGATTGTTAACCCACTTCATCATCAATCATTTTTATATGATTTTTTTTATGGCATAAGCCGGTAAACGAGCTGACGGATCACCTGATGGTAAGCAATCGGCGTCGCCCATGGACACCTGGAACACCAGAGGCGTTACAAGTGCGTTACCGGCTTTTTGGGGATTAGGAGTTTGAGGATCGTTGGGGAACAAGGGATTGGGGAGATTGGGGAAGGGGAGGGTAATTGGGCCTCCGGTAACCTCACTCACACGACGAAACACAACGCGAGCGTTCCTTCACGTCGGTTTTCTGTGAGGCCGTGGTATCACTCCGGTCGAGCCGGCCCATTCGTGCCGAAGCATGGTTCTCCCACACTTGATGTCGATAAATTGTAAAAATTGCGAGTAAAGTTGAAGATATAAATGTTGTGTAAATAAAATTGTTTTAATCAGCATACAATTTGTATGAATATATATGTAAATTATTGTATAGAAGTTTGTGTCGATTTTTCAATTATTTCGCGTGAAATCGAATTAATATATATCCTATAGGTGTTGGGTAAAAAATTGTTTTGCTACATAATATGTCTTATGCGCGTAACGTTGCTCGTTTGCCCTCTAAAAATGACCCATGAAGGTAGGCCATCATACATTATTTGACTTAAAAATACATTGAATGGATTCCAAAAAATATACGAATAGGGCAGATGCCTAATTTTTATTTTAATGTCCGTCTGGTAGATTATTATAAATCATTAGACACGAATTTTTTATTTTATTACAGATACGAATACTTTCAACGATATATTGATTTGAAATGTGGCGTGACGTCACTTCTATGTACATTTTATACGTAGAAATGACGTGAAACAAGTGAAACAAGTGAAACAAGTGAATTTATTTCTGCAAATAGGCTACAAGGCAGCACTTTTACACGTCATTTTTATCAAGCGAACGATGAGGTCGACATTTCCTAACTGACTACTCTGAGAAGAAATGCCGAAACAAACTCAGAGGTCTGTCTCTTTTAAAGTCCAGACATTATGTATAAAAGATTATGTGTGAGAACCGTGCAAGTTCTTTCTGTAGTGGCCTTTTGAGGAAAGAACCACAACAGTTTGAGCGGACCCGTTCTGAAGGCAGTACGCATGTGTCGGTTTACAGTCGGCTCAATTAACAGGTGAGGCTGACTGATTCGACGAACAATACCAACCTAAAGAACATTTGCGTGGGTCGCACAAATACTCAAACTGTCAGAATATGGGTAATTAGAAAAGAAATGGTGAGGCAAAGTCTCGCACGGTCCTAGCACTAACAATTGTAAAGGAAAAAGCAAATATCAAGTTAGAACAATGTATGAAAAACAATGTCAAGAAATGTAACTATATGTTACAAACATGTCAACATGACCCGTGTGGACGTTACAGCAGCCTATTCCCAAGCCAGACTATCATCTAGGTAGTCTTTAATTTTATAAAAAGCTTTACTATAAAATTTATCTTTAATGGCATTTTTAAATTTATTTAGACTCAGATTTTGGATATGGCTGGGAATTTTATTGTAAAAGCGTATACTCTGACATCTAAACGAACCACTTATTTTCTTTAGTCTAGTAGTGGGAACAACATATTTGTCTTTATTTCTCGTGTTGATATTATGTATATCACTATGCTTTTTAAATAAATTTTTGTTTTTATGAGCATATACTACATTTTCATAAATGTATTGAGAGGCAACGGTCATTATATTAATTTCTTTAAATAGTTCCCTGAGAGAGTACCTCGGACTAAGATTATAAATTGATCGAATGGCCCTCTTCTGCAGAACAAAGATAGATTGAATGTCAGCAGCATTCCCCCATAGGAGAATACCATATGACATGACACTATGAAAATAACTAAAGTATACTAATCGCGCTGTATCTACATCGGTTAACTTTCTAATTTTTTTAACGGCATATGCTGCAGAACTGAGCCTTTTCGATAACTTATCTATATGTGGAGCCCACTGGAGCTTAGCGTCTAGGGTTATACCTAAAAAGACAGCAGAATCTACAGGGCTCAACTCCTCACCCTTAATGAGCACGCTGGTTTTAACATGTCCAACATTTGGTGTTGTAAATTTAATGCATTTAGTTTTAGTTCCATTTAGTAATAGGTTGTTGGCACT